CTTTTAGCAGTCCACGGTACTTTCAGCATTCTTCGCCAGCACCACAACTCAAAAGCATCAACTCTTCTTCGGTCTTCCTTATTCATTGTCCAGCTCTCACATGCATACAAGGTGATTGGAAATATCATGGCTTGTGTCAGGCACACCTTAGTCCTCAAGGAGATATCCTTGCTCCTCAGCACTTGAAACAGTTCCTTCGCAGTTGACTTTCCCAATGCTACATGTCGTCTAATGTCCTGACTGCTGCTTCCGTTGGCATCGATTGTAGAACCAAGCAATGTGAATTCCTTGACAACCTCAATCTTCTCTCCATTGATTGTGATGCTGCTCATTGGTCCAGTTGTGAGGATTTTTGTTTTCTTTATGTTGAGATGTAATCCATACTGCAGACTGTATTCTTCAACCTTCATCAGTAGGTGCCTTAAGTCATCCTCACTTTCAGCAAGCAAAGTTGTATCGTCTGCATATCTCAGGTTGTTAATGATTCTTCCTCCAATCCTGATACCACGTTTTTCTTCATATAGTCCAGCTTCTCGGATTATTTGCTCAGCATATAGATTGAATAAGTGTGGAGAAAGAATACAACCCTGACGCACTCCTTTAATGTTGCAACTTGAGGCTTTTTTTTTCCTTCAATTCTCTCAAGCTTGAGCATGCTGAACACGTTTTTCCTTTTTGATCTTCTAATTCCAATTCTTTCCACATTTCATTATAATACTTTGTGTTCAAGCCACCCCTTAAAATCTTCCGTTCAGATCTTTTACTTCATCACTTCTTCCTTCCGCTGAATCGATAGCAAGTTTCAGGATCTCTTTTGACGTCCATTTTGGTCTTTCCGTTCCTCCCCATCTTTTTAATAACCTTTTTCTTTCTTCATGTATGATTTCCTTGAAGTCATCCTACAACTCATCTGGTCCTCAGTCATTGGTGTTCAACACATCAAATCCGTTGAGATGGTCTCTAAATTCAGGTGGGATATTATCAAGGTCATTTTGGCTCTTGTGGATCTGTTTTCATTTTCTGCAGCTTCAACTTTACCTGGTATTTGAGCAACTGATGGTCTGTTCCACAGTCAGCCCCTGGCCTTGTTCTGATTATAAGTGAGCTTCCCCACTGTCTCTTTCCACAGATGGAGTCAATTTGATTCATGTGTACTCCATCTAATGAGGTCCAGGTACAGGTCACTGTTTATGTTTTTGAAAAAAGGTATTTGCAATGAATAATTTAGTCTCACAAAATCCTATCATGCAATCTCTAATATCACTTCTATCACTAAGGACTTATTTTCTAACGACCAATGTTTCTTCTTTGTTTCCAACTTTCACATTCCAATCAACAGTAACTATCAATGCAGCCTAACTGCATGCCTGATTCATTTCAAACTGCAGAAGTTGGTTATCATCTTCAATTTCTTCATCTTTGGCTTTGGTGGTTGGTGCATAAATTTGAATCATAATGGTATTAACTGGTCTTTCTTTTAGGCATATGGATATTGTCCTATCACTGACAGCACTGTACTCCAGGACAGATCTTGAAATATTCTTTTAGAAAATGAACACAACACCATTCTTCTTCAATTTGTTATACCAAGCACAGTAGACTATGTGACTGTTATTTCAAAACGGCCAGTACCAGTTCATCCCAGCTCATTAATGTGTTCCATTTCCTTTTTAATTTTTTTTACAATTTCCAATTTTCCCAGATTCGTAATTTATATTTTCCACATTCCAGTTATGAATGGATATTTATAATCTTTTTCTGAATGCCTTCCAACCTGAGGGGCTCATCATCTTCCGGCATCATAGCAAACAATCTTCTATCGTTATTTGTAAGGTTTTCAGTGGCCAATTTTTCAGAAGTGGACCTGGCTAGGTTTTTCTTCCCAGGCTCTGTGAGTCTGGTGGCTCCACTGAAACCTGTCCACTATGGTGACCCTGCCAGTTACCCATGAAATACTGGTGGCATTCCAGCACCAGAGCAACACACAAGTACCACAGTAGGGCAGACCGACAGACACATGATGGACTGTTAGGTCCAACTGCTTTATGGTGTTCTTAAGTCCCCTTATTTCTTTACTGATTTCCATCTAGTTGTTTTTATCTACTAATGGAAGTGGGATATCTGCCTCTCAGCTACTATTGTAGAACTATTTCTCCCTTCAACTCTGCCCATTTTTGCTTCCATGTTTTGAGGATCTGTTGCTACATACGCATAAGTCTGTAATTGATGCATCGTCTTGCTGTAATGTCCTTTTTGTCCCACGTAAACTTTTTCAGGTATTCTGTCTGCTAACAGTACAATCACCCCCTCTTTTTTGGTTCCTATTTGCATGGAGTATCTTTTTCCATCCTTTTATTTTCAACTTCTTTGTGTTTTTGTATCTAAAGTCTCTTGTAGACAGCAGCTAGAGAATGGTTTTTCAAACCCATCTGCAATTCTCTTCCTCTCAATAAAAAGTTTAGGCCATTTATATTTAAAGTAGTTACCGATAAGGAAGAATTTACTTCTGTCATTTTGCTACTCTTTTTTTGTATGCCTTATATGTTTTTGTTGCTCAATTCCTCCATTACTGACATTTTTATATTTATTGAATTGCTGTGGTAAATCTTTTTGATTCCTTTTCCATATATTTTTAAGTTATTTTCTTAGTGGTTACCTTGACGATTATAATTAATATCTTAAACTTATACCCACCTATTTTAAATAATACCTAGTTTGACTGGAATACACTCTGCTCCTAGATCTCCATCCTTCCCTCTTCATATATCGTTACAAATTACATCAGTGTGTCCATTAATATAGATTTATACTTAAGTGTGTTATGCATTTATCTTGTAAATCACATATGAAAACAGAGGAATTACAAACCAAAAGTGATGACACAGGTTATTACATTTATCTACGTAGTTACCTTTCCCTTGTCCTTTTTCTCACAGCTCCAAGTTACTGTCTAGAGCCTTCCCACTTGGGCCTGAAAGACTTCCTTCAGCATTTCCTGAATGGGTGACGGGTGGTACTGGCAGTGTGCTTATCGAGCAATGTCTGAATTTCTCCTTCATCCCTGAGGACGGCTGTGGCAGACACAGAGTCTCGCCTCAACGTTGCTGTGGTCCTGTCAGGGCTGCCTCTTGGCCTCCCTCTGTTCTGACGAGACTGCAGCTGCTGTACTCTACTGGACACCCTTTCTATTTGACAACTGGCCTCTTTAATCTTGCAGTTTTCAAGTTTCTTTTCTTCCCCCTTGGTTTTCAACAGCTTGACTATAGTGTGTCCCAGTGCGAGTCTCTGTGTGTGCTGCCTGCAGTTGGTCTGGGTGCCTTGATGTGTAGTTTCACGTCATTCATCAGACAGGGGACGCTTTCGGCCACTATTTCTTTAACTATTCTTTCTGCCCCTTTCTTTGTCTTTCCTTCTGGGACTCCTATGATGTACAGGTTGGTCTTCAGTTGTCCCACAAGTTGCTCTGGCTCTGTTCATTGTTATTAATTCTTTTTTAGTCATGAAGCTGAATAATTTCAACTGTCTTATCTTCAAGTTTAAAGAGCTCTGGTGTTATAGTGGTTAAGACATTTGACTACTAACCAGAAGGTTGGTGGTTTGAACCCACCAGCCACCTTGAGGAAGCAAAGATGAAGTGGTCTGCTTCTGTAAAGATGTACAGCCTTAGAAACCCAGTGGGGTCACTATGAGTTGGAATCAACTTGACGGCAAGGAGTTTGGATTTGGTTTTACCTTCAAGCTCACTTACAAATGATTGGCAATTTCTTCCTTCATCAGACCCTCCCACGGTTGTTGTAACAGTCTAATCAGGTTCCAAAATCCGAAACAACTGATTCCTGTCGCTCTGTCTGCGTTAAGTCACCACTCTGGTGAAAGGGCCGACCCACACAGTCTCCACTGCACCATTCTGGGTGACCTTACTCTGTATTTTATTTTTCAAACTTTATTTTAGCTTCTTCCTGAGCATGAATAATCTATCAGTCATGGGTTTGGTGTGCAGGTTGTATATTTTTTTCCTGATGCTCATTAACAAGCTTAACTTCTAAAAACAGGCACACACCATCTGGAACCAGCTCATGTACCAGCAGTGTTTCAGAGCTGAAACCCTGAAGCGTTGGTCAAATTCATCAACTAAGTGATATATCAATACAACCCAAGGCTAATGACTATTCCTGCCTATGGGGCAAAATCTACTATGCAGCAAACAAGAGTTCATAAGACATCCAAAGATGCTCCTCCAAAATGCGGGAGAAAAAGACACCAGCATGAGAACGGACCCACTAATGTGTGACTCACATTTACTGCTTTCCCTGAGAATATTTCAAAAGACAAAAAGATGTACACTCAAGCTATGAAGAACAAAAATTACGCCTACCACAAACTTTCTGTTGCTACTAGAAATAATTTATCTGATGAAGAATAAAGTCAGTGTCTTAAGTCTCCTGTGACCCTGCTCCTTTCTGTGCAACTGAGCCTGGAAAATGGGCATGACGGTGAGTAGACACCCACATGGACAGCCTGACTCCTAGCGGCTCTCCACTCATGCGTTCGGGCTCACTCACGAGCCACTCGGTCTCCCTGGGCCTGCCTTGTCACCTCCTAAGTGGGTGCTTCTACCCTGCCCTCTCCTTGCGTAGAAAGGTCCTCAGGAAAGCACTTAGCACGGCCCCTGACACACAGGAAGAGTTCACAAACGGTGGGTGTTATTACCAGTTGTAATAGCATGAGGAAGTGATATCTACATTTCCATCCATTTTTTTATTATACCAGCGACAAGCATTTCCATTAGAATTAGAAAAACTGGAAATTTTTTACCCAAAGGGCTCACTTTTGCCAGTTTGTCAGCTAAAGACTCTGAAAAGCACCAAGGGCTGAGCCAGCAGGGGTCACACGGCACACAACGAACAGAACACAAGAACGCCCACCCTGAGTGGGACAGAGGCTCCCTGCGGGACCCACTATCAGCCATACAAGGCTGGCTGCATGGGGGCCACACGTACCTGTCCACCAGCTCCCTCATGCCCTCTCTGTCAGGAACAAGAGACTGGTCCTGGTCGTCCGCCAGCGGCGTCCCGGCCTGGCGGTATATGCAGCGCACCATGTAGCGCACTTCTGACCAGTAATTCTGCAGCTGCTGAGACTCTCGCTCTGTCTCTGCGGAGACGTCTCTGTAAACGACAAGAACACCAAGAGCCAGGGTTAGACAAAAGCACAGTCGACTTCACCTCCTCATCCTAACAAACTACTTTAGGGCACGAAGACTTTCCTCAGAGCATTCCACAGAGTGGACAACAGACACACAGCTCCTGCACCCCATCCCCAGGCGCCATTTCCACTCTCCTTTAGGGTCATGCTGTTCACTGAAGCCGCCTCCTCCCTGGTCAGTTCAAACCCACTTTCCCTGGCACTCCTCCATCTCCTCACCTCCCAGGAGCCAAGCGTCAGTCTTTCGTTACCAGAGGGAAGACTGATAGCTTCCCCAGGCACCACCTCCAGGCACCTCATCTGCTCAGTCCCTGAGACCTGCACCTCCGTGAGGTTGCTGCCACTCCTCACACCACAGGAACCGTCACAAAATCTCCCTCCGGGTCCTCCTGTCACTGTCCGGGTGCCCACATAAGCGGCTCGCTCTCTCTCCACAAAGCTGGGTCATTATGTGGTCCTCTTGGCTTCTTTGCCAAGCGGGGTGCAGGGCTATTTTTGCGCCCCACTCATCCCTGAGTCTATCCTCCTTGATCATATCCGGCTGCCTATCACCAGCCTCCCTGCATCACTCCAGTCAGAGGCCATTTCCCTCCTCCAAGCTGCCGTACTGATTCCTTACACTGACCCACTACTCTGCTGACTTGTGCGCATCTCCTCTGCTTCTCAGAGGACTGTTTTCTTGTATGACCTCCTCACGGTCAGGGCATTCTGCCTTTTTCATCTGGTCATTCCTCACAAGAACAAGGCTACAGTCTTATTCTTAAGAGAGTGGGAACATTTGTGTTATTTATCAAGATAGCCCAGATTTCTGTTACAGCTCAAACTTGAGTTAGTCTCACCCTCCTTGAAGCCTGTACTTGCTCCTGGCTGAGGGAGGAGTCACGGCCAGAGAGCACAGCACCCAGACCACATACCTGTGCTCACTGCAGGCCTCACAGGTGCAGGCTGCGTCGGTGGGGCTGGAGTTGCTGAGCCCCGTGGAGGGCAGTGTCTGAGTGCCCAGAGCCAGTCTGCCACCACCTCCTGCCTCGGGCTGCGATCCTCCAAGTGGGTTGTGCAGGAGAAAATCTTGGCCCTGCTTGGAGAACAGGTTATTAGTAGACAAGCAATGCGCAAACATTCACAGCATCAAGTTTTAGTAATTGTGCACAAAAATGCCTTTTAGAAAAATTTTAAAACCTAGACACTGAAAATATTTTAACTGATTAGATCGAAAAAAATTTTCTAAGACCCAAGAGTTTTGTCGGAACCAGTTGTTTTCTTCCTTCTGGCATTTTCCATGATGATCCCATGAAGACCGTCAAGGAATTTCTTCCAATCTTTAGAAAAGAGCCCACTTCCAGTGTCCTTACGGGCACGTGGGATGGCCGCCCGGTGAGCACGTCTGAGCACTGCAGAGCCATCTGAGACAGCAGTTAGTGCCAGCCTAGCAACCACGCTGCACCCCCCTATGACCCAGCCAGGCCACAGGGGCAGAGGCCACTCTGGCCCAAGGAATCTGGAGCTCCACTAACTCCAGGGACTCCTGGGTAAAGAGGACATGCCCCACAGGGCTAAAGGGCAGTCCAGGTTTCATCCACAAGCAGTAACAAGAATGTGAATGCAGCCTGTTGGTCCTGCTCCCACCACCTGTTTTGTTTCTCTTTTCTCAAAACTTAATACCACTGCTCTTTCTCCCAGCTGCTGACAGAATCCCAGAAGGCATCCTGGGTTCCTCAGGAACAGGAGCTGAGTGGGATGGGACTGTGGTGTCCAGGAGCTTCAGCTCAAATCTTGGGGCTGAGAATGGAGGTGGGACCCCCACAGTGTGAAGAAAGATGCTGCTGCCTCCACACCAGGCTCACCTACAGGGGCAACCGTCCCGCAACCACCACCCCAATGGCCTGCAAAGAGGCGTACATGCAGACATGAGGGAGCAGGGCTTCTGGGGGGAACTCACAGAGAACCTTGCCATGTCTTCTTTCCCACAAAGAGGAGGAGGATGAGGGATTCATCTCCTCAAGCCAAGTGGAGCCTTTGCTATAGGCCCCCAGAGAGTCAGAGGCACCTGGATTCTCACCCCATGCGAGATGCTCGTCTGGCCTGATGTCAGAGCGCCTGTCTGTTTGCTACCGGACAGAGCACAAGGGCATCCACAAAGGCCGGGCGACGGCCTGGCATCTGGGCCCCACCCGCACTGATCCCTGACTTGCACACAGAAAAGCCTGGAGGCAGAGGATTCTCCCAGCTGTGGCCTTTGCCTGACTTCCTTCCCCGAGCTGACTAGGCTCTGGTTAACACACCAACCCTAACCACCCGAGTGAAACTCCGTACATTACTGTAGTAGTTAAGGTTGTGTTCAAGTTGGCTGGGCCTGACTGAGTGGCTGGGCAGCTGGTGGTAGTTATTCCCCATGATGGAGACTGGCATTCATCTCCATGGCAGATCTAACACAAGCAGCTGAGTAGCTGCTTGAGGGATGTGGTCTGCTTCCCGTATGTAAGAAACAGCTTTAGGAATGGTCCTCTAGCTTACGGCATGCTTGGACCCTACATGCAGCCAAGTCTTTGTGCCATGCTCTGCCGATCTTGGGACTTTCAATGGGCTTCAATCAATGGCCTGTAATGTAGTTTGGTAACAATGGGACTATGCCATTTTATTTGCCTACCTTGGGCTTGTTAGCCTCAGCAGCCAGCAGCTGAGTGAAGAAAAGCCTCCAGCCTCAGGGGGCTGGGAGCAGGAGGCAGAGCTGAAGCCCAAGGCTGAGGGGCTTTCACCCAGCCCCTAGAGCCTGGTGCTTTAAACTCAGACTTAAAGCCTCCAAACCGTAAGAGAATAAACTCCTGTTTGTTAAAGCCATTCCATTTGTGATAACTTCTGTTAGAGTGGCACCGTTGTTGTTGTTATGTGCTGTTAAGTCGGACCCAGCTCATAGCGACCCCTCCTTGGGTTTCCGAGGCAGTATCACTGATGCAGACTGCCCCATCTTCCTTTTGAGGAGTGGCTAGTGGGTTTGAACCGCCAGCCTTCCAGTTAGCAGTCAAGTGCCTTAGGCACTATGCTACCAGAGCTCCTAGAGGGGCACTAGGTAATCAAAACAATTACCAACTGCTATCTGAAATTCAGGCACTCTGGTGGTGCTGTAGTTAAAGCACTGGGCTGCTAACCAAAAGGTCGCTGGTTCAAACCCACGAGTGGTTCCATGAAAGATGGATGAGACAGAGTACTTCTATCAAGATTTGTTGTTGTTACGTGCTGTCGAGTCAGACCCAACTCATAGTGACCCCTCCTTGGGTTTCCGAGGCAGTATCACTATGGAAGTAGATTGCCCCATTTTCCTTCCAAGGAGTGGCTGGTGGGTTTGAACTGCCAGCCTTCTGGTTAGCAGTCAAGTGCCTTAGGCACTATGCTACCAGAGCTCTACATCCTTGGAATCCCTCTGAGGCAGTTCTACTCTGTCCTATAGGGTCGCTATGAGGCAGAATCTGAAATTCTGGTGTTTTACATGCCTCCTTGGTTTTAGCCCATCTTCAACATGGGAATATAACGTCCATGTCAGCAGGAACCTTTTCTGACCTGCTCACCACTACAGCTCAGCACCTACAAGGGCACCTGGCACACGGAACAGACCCCATCAGTATTTGCTGCACATCTGAACAGAGATCAAGGTCCTCAAAAGTCACATTTCCTGGTGACAGGAGATAAAGGTAAGTCTTTTAAAACAGGAAGAGTAACGACTTTCTATTAAACCCTTAAATGTATCACCTCTTAATATGCATCTTACACAGATTTAATCTGTCGTTCGTTAGGTCTGTTTGAGTCCAACACAATTTAAAATTTAAGAATACAGCAAAATGGAGCACTCAGCAACATAAACTTCACAAAATCCAGCATCCAAAAGCTCTGCTTCCAAAGAAGCAGAGAATGCTAATGCAGGAGGACAAGCAATCGATAAAAATAACAGAGACGATGCAACCAACCAACAAGACTCTAAGAACAGCACCGAGAAATAAGCTCCCAGTGTGCAAAAAAAGTGAGGAAAAACGGATGTGGAGAGGGAACACGACCACAGAGAGCAAACTCTAAATAGAAAACAAAGTACACAGAACACAGAGGTGGAAAATAAAGTACCTACTACATAGATGAAGAGGCAATCAGACAGAGTAAAGCACCAGTAAAACTGAAGGCATGCAGTGAAAGTCCAATAGGAAGCACAGAGAAAACCAATCCAGGAAAAATGAACAAAGCCTAGGTAAGGCACAATCAAGACACCTAGCACTCCGATAACAGCATCCCAGAAAAAGAGGTTCCATGTTTACAAAGCCACATAACTTCCAAATTTGATGGAAATTATCCACTAACATATCTATAAGAAGCTCAACTAATCCTAAGCATGTTAATACAAAGAAAACCACAGTCCATCAACATCCAAATGCTGGAAACCACTGATGAAGTGAGAATCTTAGAAGGGGGTGCACAAAAAGAGACATTGCACACATGTAAAGAATGACGACAGACTTTCCCCAGAAACGAGGCAAAAGGCAGAGAAGACTCCAACAACCTAGAATCACACACGTAGGAAAATATTTTTCAAAAACAAAAGCAAAAGGAAAGCTTTCAGACAAACAGACACTGGCCTGTACTGGAAAAAATGTTCAAGGCAGTTCCAAAACCTGGTGTTTTGAAAACATCTGTAAAACTGATAAACTTCTAGCCAATGAAAAAGAAAAACTCAAATGATCAATATCAGGAATCAAAGTGTGGGTGGGTGGGGGTGGCGGGGTACATTAATACAGGTTCTACATAAATTACAAAGCTAAATAAAAGAATATGATGAAAAATCCATGCCGATTCATTTGACGACACAGACTAAATGGACAAATGCCTTTAAAACAAAACTTAACAAAGCCCAATCATGAGAAAACAGATAACCCCTACCAAACAAATATTACATCGTTCATCTGTCAGTCTGTCATACTGTGGTGGCTTGAGTATTGCTGTGAGGCTGGAGGCTATGCCACCAGTATTTCACATACCAGCAGGGTCACCCTTGGTGGGCAGGGAGCTTCCAGACTAAGATAGACTGGGAAGAAGGACAGGGCCATCCGCTTCTCAAAGAACTGGCCGCCGAAGACCTTACGAAGAGCCCTGAAACGCTGTCTGATACGCTGCCAGAGGATGAGCGCCTCCAGTGGGATGCGCCCAACAGACGACTGAGGAAGCGCTGCCTCCTCAGAGTGGGGTTGGCCTCCATGGCATGGCTAGAGTACAGCTTTGGGACCTTCATTTGCTGATGAGGAACGACTCAAAAATGGAAAGAAACAGGTGCAAACATCCATTAATAATCGGAACATGGAATATACAAAGTACAAATCTAGGAAAACTGGAAGTTCTCAAAAATGAAATGGAACACATAAAGATCAGTATCTTAGGCATTAGTGAGCCGAACTGGACTAGTATTGGCTGTTTTGAATCAGATCATATGGTCCATTACGCTGGGAATGACAAGTTGAAGAGGAATGGTGTCACATTCATTATCAAAAGGATGTTTCAATATCTGTCTTAAAAGTACAATGTGGTCAGTGATAGGATACTATCCCTACGCCTACAAGTAAGACCGGCACAGGATTGGGCAGTGTTTTGTTGTGCTGAACACGGGGTCGCTGTAAGTCAGAGACGAGTCAATGGCACCTAACAACAACAAAACAAGAAAGACCAGTTAATACTATTACTATTCAAAATTATGCACCAACCAGCAAAGCCAAAGATGAGGAAACTGAAGATTTTTACTAACTTCTGCTGACTGAAATGGACCGAACATGTAATTAACATGTACTAATTACTACTGGTGATTGGATGCAAAAGTTGGAAACAAGACGAAGCACTGATAGTTGTAAAATATGGTTTTGGCGATAGAAATGACAGCAAGGACCCCAGCACATATGTTGCGAGACCAGTACCTTATTCACTGCATACACCTTTTTCAACAACATAAATAGCTACTATATACTTGGACCTCACCAAATGGAATACACAGGAACCAGATCAACTACACCTGTGGAAAGAGGTGATGGAGAAACTCAATGACCTTTAGTG